TTTTGTGTAAAACTAATTATATTAAATTAAATATGCTTAGAAAAATTATGAAAACTGTTTTTCTGAGTTCCTTGTGATCAGGGGCATTTTATAAAAAAAAAACCCATTTTTTGTGAAAATATTTCATTTTTAAAATATACTTTGAATTAAAAATAATTAAAATAATTAAAATTTACAAAAAAAACAAAAATGGTTTAAAATGAATGAGAATGTCCCCTGATCACTTTGAATTCATTAGGACATTTTTCCTAATTTTTCTTAGTTAAAAATAAATTTTAAAGGCTTAAAAACAAATTTTACATTTTTTCTCACTAAAATAATTATATTAAATAAATTAAAAAACACAAAAAGTAAAAAATTTAATTCTCTGAATATAAATTTTGAATCTCTGAGTTTTCTGAACTCAGAAGAGTCTAATAAAAGTATAAAAGTAATTTTTGTAATTAAAACACTAGTTTCTATTTAGATAAGTCATGAAAATTGATCTAAAATAAAATAATAATAATAATAGAAATTTGATTCAAAAAATAATGAAATTTTGCCTAAATATTTCTCTAACCTTAGGAAACCTATAATAATTTTTCCATAAATATAAATTTTATTTTGGATAATTAAATAAATTAACCTTTGGAAATCCTATTTCCTAAATTTAAATAATTATCTAAATTAAATCAATTTAAATCAAATTTGGAGAGGTCCACATGTTCTCCTCTAATATCCTAATTATCTCATGGATATAACACTTTAAACCCTCAAAATCATTTGAGTTGTGTTTAAAGATTATGAGGTGAAGTGCCCCAAGGGCAAAGTGGTAATTTTAAAACTTTGGTGCCTTAATAAAAAACTTACGATTATCAAAGGGAAAATATGTAATTTTGATCTTAATAAACATGTTTGGATGATTGAAATATAATGGGGCTAAAAGGTAGAAACTCATTCAACACCCTTGCACAACAACAACTAAAAGCATAATTCTCCTAATCTTCATGACTTGGAAGTCAATTAAAGATCAAATGATTCTTAAGTGATGGACATAAACCAGAAAGATGATAATTTACTTTTCTCAAGCTCAAAGTTGAGGATGATGTGATCACTTAATAAGGATCTATCACACTTAAATCAAAATCTTGATAATCACCATTTCACTCATTATGATTGTTAAAGGTTTGGTAGTGATATAGGTTCGATGTTTGAACTCAAGTTGATTGGATTTAGAAAATGATATAATTTGTGATTAATATCTTTAAGCATTACAAGCCTGACTTTGACTTCGGGCATCATAATCTTAAATAACTAAATAACCTAGACTTGCCTTTCACTCACATAACTCTTAAATGAAACATCAATTGATTAATCAAGTATCCTATCTCC